ATCAGAGGAGACAAGGCAGCCTGGTTCTGGAACGAGGAAGTCCAGGGATCGTCAAGCAGAAGAAGGAAGCATACAAACGCTGGCAAAAGACAAGGAGCCCAGAAGACTACGCTGCCTACAAGAGCTGCAAGCGACTCGCTAAGGCAGCCGTTGCTAAGGCCAAGAATACGGAAATGGACGCCCTGTACGAGAAGCTGGAAGGCCGAGAAGGGGACAAGTTCGTCTTCCGCCTGGCTAAAGCTCGGCATCGCGCTGCTCAGGACATCAGGGTCGTAAAGACTGTGAAGAGCAGCAACGGGGCCATTCTCAGGAAACCAGCCGAAGTCAGGAAGAGGTGGGAAGAATACTTCGAGGGACTTCTGAACGAAGAATTCCCCTCGCAAGGATAGCCCACAGATAGAGGCGACGGCAGGTCCCATCACTCCCTGGACGAAGGATGAAGTTCGCCGGGAGCTAGGGAGAATGAAAGTTGGGAAAGCAGTGGGTCCAGACGGGGTACCGATAGAGGCATGGAAGGCCCTTGGAGAGCATGGGGTGAGTTGGCTCACACACTTCCTAAACAACGTAACGGCTGAAGGAAGGATGCCGGATGCGTGGAGGAGCAGCACAATCGTCCCCATCTTCAACAGAAAGGGACGCGACGGAGTGCTCCAACTACCGCGGCATCAAGTTGACTCCCCATACCATGAAGCTGTACGAGCGCCTGGTCAACACTAGGCTGAGGGAGCTTGTCCCTATCTCGCAGGAACAGTTCGGCTTCATGCCCGAAAGGTCCACCACTGATGCCATCTTCATCGCCAGACAGCTGATGGAGAAGTACCGAGAGAAGCGGCGACCCTGGCACCTCCTGGACCTTTTATTTATTTATTTATTTATTTAGTACGCTGTTTAAGACAACGCTCGATATAATGAGAACAAATCTAAACATAAAACGAACAAAAAACACAACAACAATGAAGAAACATAGCACCTATGCACTGAGAACTTGCTTAGCTATGGCACGTTTGAAGGAAGTCATAGAGCCATTAAACAATGTGGTTTTGCCCAAACGTAGATATGCGAGACCCGCTCTGATAGTGAAGAAATTGCGCCTAAGGTTGTTTTAGGGCGCGCAAATGATAGCTTATGTTGACCACCTCTGGTTATGGACGGAATAAGGGTGTAAAAACGAGAAAAATCAAGTATGGATTTGTCCCTCAACAGTTTATGCAACATACATAAGTCAAAAAGGGTCCGCCTGGAATGTAGGAGGGAAGACCGAAATATTTGTTCCTAATTTCTGCTTTAGGGATTTTAGCATACAGAAAGCCACCGCGACGGATTAACATCTTTCTGGTGAAATTATTTTGGACTTTTTCAATAAGAGCCACGTCCCTTTTTTTATAAGGGGCGAAGACAACCGTTCCCGTCTCTACCAAAGGCCGAACATAAGTCTTGTAAACTCTAACAAGCACCCTACTATCCGCGGTAGTGAGAGCCTTAAATATGCAATAGGTTATCGATTACTTTGAGAAGGCATTCGACCGCCTGCCTCGGCTCCTACTCTGGAGAGCGCTTAGAGAACGTAACGTTCCGGAGCACCTGGTCTCCATAGTGAAGGACATGTACGATGGGGCTAAAGCAGCTGTACGCACCCCTCACGGCTTGACAAAGGAGGTAAACATTACGGTTGGGGTACACCAAGGATCAGCCCTCAGCCCGTTCCTCTTCCTCCTGACTCTAGATGTCATGGCAAAAGAACTCATGGAGGGGCCACTGAAACCATCTACGACACCGTACTGATAGCGGACAGCAGGAAAGAACTCCAGGACAAGGTGCAGCGGTGGCAGGATGTGCTCGCTGAGAATGGACTCCGGCTGAACGTGAAGAAGACCAAGTTCCTGAGCTCCGAAGAGTGTACCGAACCCATCGTAGACCGCCACGGCGAGAGCATCGAAAGGGTCGAGGACTTCCAGTACCTGGGGAGCGACCTAGCAGCTGATGGCAGCGTGGACCAGGCGGTGAAGTCCCGAATCAACGCAGCCTGGATGAAATGGAGGGAGTCCACTGGCATCCTGTGCGACCGGCGGTGCTCGAGAACGCTCAAGGGTAAGGTGTACCGGGCGGTGGTAAGGCCTACAATGCTCTACGGCAGTGAGTGCTGGCCCATCTGCAAGAACCATGAAAGGCAGCTCCACTCAGCTGAAATGAGGATGCTGAGATGGGCCTGCGGCTGGACACGACTCGACAGAGTCAGAAACGAGGACGTCAGGGCGATCACACAGACGGCTGCGATCCAGCTGAAGGCACGGAGCTGCTACTGTGGTATGGTCTCGTACCGAGGAGGCCTGAAGACTCGAAGTAGAGGGCAAGCAACCATGAGGTGCCCCAAAGAAAAGATGGAGGGACGTCATCAAGAAAGACCTCACTGTAGTAAAAGCCACTGCATAAGATGCAGTGAATCGCAACAAGTGGCGACGTCCAACAAGAACAGCGGATCCTGCAACGGCGCGGGACTAGCACTAGGGAGAAGAAGAAGCTGTCCCGCGCACCATACGGAGAACCATTAGTGCAGTTTATCAGCATCGACACGATATCTTCACCTTGAACACTGATATGACTTTGAGTGCTGGGGAAGAACCGTAGTGCAGTTTCATTACTCAAGAATAGTAGAATGATCATCACAGGAAGTACTAGTCTTATATACCGGTCAAAATAGGCTTGGCTGATAAGAATTACAGGCTGACACGGAATTTCACGACCACCTTCAATCACTTTGACTCGCATGACAGGACCAAGCTGTTCACTCATCTAAAAACACTGAAAACTTGAACTTCGTACTCCCTTCTTTCACTTTCTTTGATTGTAACCCCTTCCCCACCCCTACGCTCGGCGTCATTAGAGGCAGTGGGCTACAGAGCACATCATTGTTGGGGATTCCCCAACAGGGGGGTCGTATTTGGCCGCCAGGAGAGGGAGGGGGTCGTAATGAGTGCGGTAGCCAGTAACGAGCAGCGCAAAGGTGTCAGTGCTGAGTCCTGTGTAGCGAAACTTGCTCTGTAGAGAATCCGGATATGTAAAAAAATTGTACGATACTTTCTTTGATTAATATCAGCAATTAACTGGAAATATTAATAAGTCGACATCATTTCGTAAGTAGGTATATGGCTAAACAGTACAACTCATACCCTGGTCCGCTGCGGATGATGGGGCGTGTCCGAGCGACCGCGCTTGGCGCTGAGCCAACCTGTCTTTTTTTTCTTACGACAAACGACAGGGCTACCATATCGTTCGTATCCGTTCGTATCAGACGTTTTCCAGCTGTTGGTCTCCTTTATCAGAGTCAGCAATTGGCGGAGCACAGATCTGGCGGCGTCGACACGGACACGCCCCATCATCCGCAACGGAAACACTGTAAACAAGTGCGTAGGTTGGCCATGGATTCCCTGAATCCTGTAAACACATCTGCTCGTGTAGACAGGCATTGCGTGGAACTGCACCATCCCATTATTTCTGCGTGGGAGCCTAGGCATGGCGCATCCACAATAATGGGCGCTGGAACACTTACTACTTGTTGCATTCTAGACGCATTTCTGGATATCCGAGTACGCTCGCTTTGAAACGGTACACAGAAAACGGATTTTTCGAGCAGCTCGGAGTGCTCCCTAATAAATCCCCAACGCAATTATCTCATGAATCCCGGGAGCATCAGGAACAGTTCAAGTAGTTTCTGGAAAGAGGAAGTCTTTTAGCATTCGACACTGGTTTCAGATTTGCAAACTGTTAAGTTTTAAGGAAGATATCGTACTTGATATGTTTCTTAGTAAAAGTGTTGTCTTGTCTGATGATTCTGTAAACTTCTAAATTGCTGTGTCGATTCAAAGTATTGTCAATCTGTCTGTCTTTGCACACAGTTCCTCATGGTGTAAAAGGAGTGACAGGAGGAAACGACACCAGCAAAACGAGAAGTCATGGTCGTGCATCAGTTTCATTACAACTAGACTATTACTACCCCAATCTTTAAGAACCGGCCAATTTTCACTCCCCTTTTTCTATCAGATCTGGCCGAAAGTTTGTTCCCGGCGGCAGTTCGACGTCCTGAACACGAATATCACATCCGCACAGCCTGAAGCCGGCACCCGCGACGCGCGGTGACGCAGGAACCCTAACCCCAAGGATAGTTTGACCTCCTGAACACGAATACCACATCTGCTTGGCCCGGAGCCGCTCACAAGCGCCAGCACCAGAACCCTTGATCTCCAAACTCGATGAAAACAAGTATATGGAGGTTATTTAGAATTTTGATTACGAACATGACATCCATATTCGGGACCTACGCTAATGAAGCAAACTGCGATCCACTGCGCTCTGTTAAGACTGAACCCGGCAAGGAAATCACTCCTCCTCCCAGGCTCAGCCTTAGCATAGCACTGAGTGGCGCTGGCAAAAAATGACGGCCATATTCGTGACCAGAGCATCAGAGAGCCTATCCAAGTTTTCATCGATATTGGTGAAGAATGGTGTGGCGCCAAGCTGGTTTCTGATGGCGCCAAATCGCACCAGTGCTGAAATTGTATGTCACATTTGCGACCGTGGCAGATAACCCCAGCGACGCTGGCGTCATACTAGTGATCAGCGCATCGAATGACCCTTGTAGACAAAATCTCAGCAAGATTGTTTCTCGAGTTCTGGGTTGGTAGCAGTTGGATGGAGCCTCGATTTTTTGGGAATTTTTGACTGTGATAACAATCCTTACATATGAGGCTCTCGATTACTGTGGTGTTCTTGCTTTTTTTCATGGGGGGGGGGGTAGGAAAACAACATCATTGTGAAAAAGCTCAAGGGCTAAGCAGAACGTCGTACTGCTACGTAAGAGCCTGGACCGATATAGGGACAGCAAATCATGAGATGGTAAGATCGTGTGCACGTACAGTGGAAATGCAGCAGATGGATAAGGAAAGCTATAAAAAACGCTACACATCCAACTGTCACGAAAGACTCGAATTGTTCCAGAGAGCCTGATGAGAAAAAATCTCCAGCACCGCACGGTTCCTCCGAACCAGTGAGTCGCTCATCATTTGCATTTCCACTTTATGTCATTGCTTTTGTCGACATTCAATATTAACTCTCTCATTAGTTTCTTGAAGAATGCTTCTAGGAGGAATTCAGAATGTATTTTGTGGGACAATAGTGATCTACTTTAGCACATTCTGGGCGGCACATGGTGTTACATACATTTTTCTCTCGGCAGTGCTTCACATGGTCCATTTGGCATTTACATATTTCATGTTCTCAAGTTATCAGAACACGTTTTTGTCAGAACACAGAAGACTTATATCTCAGATGGAAATGGAAAGAAAAACGGAGCAAAAAGGGCCATTATTCATGTAAAAAGCAACGAAGTGATGAGGCATCCCTCGCAGGACGGTGTCCACTATGTTGAAGGAATTTTCGGCGACCACGTGGAACGCCTACGTGCACTAAGTAACCAGATCCGCACTGACAAGTGTGCCGCTTTCGCACGGAAGAGCGAGATGAAGCGACCTAAGACGCAGAACCTCGTGCGATGTTCACTTGTTGGCAACAAGCAACGAATTTTACTGCTAATTTCCGCGCATATTGCTGGCAGCTCATGGGACGATCTCTTGTGTTCGTCGAGTAAAGCGTGGCTGCATTTGCATCCTCACGAGTCGCTCTGCTTCCCCTCGATACATTGCCTGGAAACAAGGAAGTAGTAGCAGTCTTTTTCGCATGGCAGGATGCGTTTTGACACTGCTCATAGACAGTCCGCGCATGCAAGCATTTCGTGGTCGTTCTTCTGTGCAAAAAGTCCAACCGTCTGTGCCATTTCGCGACTTCACAGTGAGTGAGGAGGGCGCTACAGCCGCCGAAAGTTCCGCATCTGACACCCGCTCACTTGGACACCCACACAATGAAAGTCCTCTCAACACAAAACACTAGGCGTTTAAGTAAGCTAGTCACATCAAGAGATTTCAGCCTCTGTAGCTTGGCACGGAGTAGGAAAATTCACTCGGGAAGCAGCTTTAGAAAATAACCTAGTGGAAACTTGTCGGTCTTTCTCAAGTTGTGCTTGAGACCTTTTTGTGGAGAGGCTCTGAATTTGAGACTCATATTTTAGATAAATGAAAGTTTTATTGCTTCTATTTTCCTGAGAAAAGCAAAAGGAATCCTGTGTCATATTCCATGTCATTCCTTAGGTAAACCTCAAAATCATGCACCAACTACATTCCGTGATAGTAGTGTATGCTAATTGAATTTGTACTAAAACTTAAGTTCTTACCCATATGAGACAAAGCAGTTGGATATGTTGAGAGGTATAAGATAACCATGTATCACATTTCTCGACCACATACGCGCAATGGACTGGTTGTGAGCCTGAAAAAACTCGGAACTATCAACTTCAACTGCAAATTCCCAAAGTTTTTATATTATACGCGTACATTCATGCCCTGGTTGAGAGCTTTCAGTGTCGGTGGTAGATCGTGCGTGTAATCCAAAAACAAGAGAAATGACCAGTCGGGCACTCATATCACTTCAGTAAGAGTTTCAACTTTCCAGCACGAGGGTTGTCCAGAACATCCGTCTACAGCGCCTTCTACTGCACCTTCCCACGGTCAATCACAGGATGAAGCTGCTCAAGCGTTCAAGGTTGGGCTGCATTGTCGTTTCTTATAAGTTTCTATCTAACATCTAACGAGCATGCGCAAATCTTTAATCAGTTCTTAATTTGCATATTGCTTTCGAGAAATGTTAGGTGAAGAGAGCTGAACGAATGTGCTTCAGTCTTGCTCCCATCGTTTCCGAAAATGGCCTGGAAACATAGCGCAACATATTCAATAAAATACAACGCTCACACCCCTTTCACGCTCGGCATCCAGCATTACACAGGGATGCAAATTCCTTTAGCGATCGAACAGCTCAGCTTTTGATGTCGTGATGGATAGAGGAGTTAGTGACAGGAGGGGAACATCTATATCCTATCACTCGCTAACAATGCCTCACTCACACACCAATAATGTTCTTTTTCAGTGCCCTACTCTATCTTGTCTTGGAAACAACGCCTCACTACTGCTGTAAGCCGCGCAGTGAATTTGGTGACCGCCGCTTCTAGCGTCCGTTATCGAATATTGTCAGCGTTATCACCTGCTGCCCGGCTGTGATGTTCATATATCATCCTACTTTACATAATCGGCTTTATATGCCTGTGTGTGTAAGCGTCTGTCTGTCTGTCACGAAATTCAGGCTAATGCCGTTTGGACTCCAGAAATTTCGTCTTCGAGCTCATTTTAAAAGTGGCAAGATCACCAAATCCGCTAAAAACTTGTATATAGGGGTAATTCAACATCCTGATCACGAATATGACATTCATTTTTGGCGCTGGCGCTAATGGATGACACTACGGTTACCTGCGCTCTGCTAAGGCTGAGCCCAGGAGGTAATCGTAGTGTCCTCTCTTGGCGCCAGCGCCAAGAATGAGTGTCATACTCGTAATCAGGATGTTGAATTACCCCTATATACAAGTTTTTAGTGGATTTGGTGACTTAGGCAATTTGAAAATGAGCTCGGAGCCGAAATTTCTGGAGTCCAAACGGCATTAGCCCGAAATTCATAGCGCCGGTTCCAGTAGCTGTAGGAAGTTGATTCCACGCAGTGATATAGAGGCTGTGACGGGAACATTATTGGTGGGTGACAGGGAGTGATATCAGCTGATAAGATCCGATAAGAGGCGTCAGAAAGAGGAGGGCCGCCGAGTCCATAGTGCGGGACACAGCAACAATGGGACGTTGGTTTCAAGGTATGGTACAGGCTACGGGACACGATTGTTATTGGTGGGTGACAAGAAGGGCTAGCAGCTGATAAGATTTGATAAGGGGAGTTAGAATGGTAAGGTCACCATACTCATAACGCGGGACACAGCATCAGCTAGGCGTTGATTTCAGAAAATGATATAGAGTGGGAGATGGGAACATCGACGGCAGGTGATAGGGACATGGTGACGGGTGACAGGCAATCTTATCAATAAAGAAGGATAAGGGCCGTTCTCATTACATCTCTTATCACTATACTGCCAAGTATTGAAGGCTCAGTGTGCAAACTTTTCCTTTAGCCATCACTTCTCTGATAGCCTAGAAAATGAACTCATCCTACTATATAATGTCGATGTCGACGAGCGGGGGGGGTGGGGAGGGTATGTAGTTCGCCTGAAACAAAACTCAGGGAAATTCGAGGAGAACCGGAAAACCTGAACAACGTGGCACTTCATGCGTTCAGTAGCTCTTTTCTTTTTCAAACTTTCATCTACTGATGAGAACGAATGTCAAGGGCTCACCTACTAATAATTATACTTCAGCGAGCGGATTGCATGCTAATTGAAAAGGGAGACATTGGTCGGTAGGCATTTCGGTGCAGGTAATGGAAACGAAATCTGCTCTTTTACTGAGCGATTCATACTGCGCTGTATTGGCCTACTACACATTGTGTCTATATCTACAGATTTATGTTTTGTATGGGCGTTAATGGCGCGGACCACGTTGCTGCAAATAGAAGCGTGAGCTAAGTAGTGCAGAATCCCAAGCTTCGCTCCTAGGGTTCGATCACTGCAGCGCCAGCGTATGTATGAGCAGCGCACTATGAAAAAGTTCCGTAAAATTATGGAGCGCGCCTGGCGAAGCCAGGCCAGCTCGGCGAAGCCGAGCTAAAGAGAAGGAGGAGAGCTCGGCGTCAGCCGGGCGATCCGACTGGTACCTTATATGTATCTTCGAGCCAATGTCCCGCATTTAGTGCCTCCGGTGCTATGATTTTTGTGCGAAACAGACGGACGCACACACACGCAATCATGCATCACGCACTCGCACTTACAGACATACTTAGGGGGATG